CTGCAGGCTTCAGAGTTTGTATATTGACATGTTTGGTTCTTATCCATTTATAGGCAACGGCAAGAATTAATTGGTCTTGTCAAATTATTTGGCAAAAATTGAAAAAAATGTTCGGGCTTTTGTTAATTAGGTTTGCTACCAGTGTTGCGTTTTGGCTATGGGTTCAATTCAACTAACAAAACCAGCCATAGTATCTTCAAGTGGTTCAAGTGGTTTTTCTATCCTCTAGAATTAATTACTACTTATCACTATTAAGGAAAACATTTTTCTAAATGAACAAAAAGGGTTTCTGCAGGCGGATTCATGGCCTGTCTGCGAGCAAATGACTGGGAAATCATCAATTTTGCTGGGTGCAGGTACACAAATCGTCTTTCAAAGATGGCTAAATTAAGAGATCCGCCTAGAAAATGGTTTTCACGAAAACAAAATAAGAAAAATCATCGTTAACGTCGCTAAGCAGCGGTCCTCGTCACACGTCGAGCATGTTAACAAAATAAATAAAACAATATTGTGCTTCCCTTGGATCTGCTGTCCCGGCCCGAGGCATGAACGGCCACTCCTACAGGCCATCGGCGACGCGAGCAACATCGAGGAAGGGGAAGGGCATGTGGGATCTGCCGCTCCTTGGGCCCATCACCACCGGATCCGACTATCCCGAGACTCTTCTAGGTTCAGCACTCCATAGGGTCGCTGCCGCCAGATCTGGCACCACCAAGGCTCCCGACTCACCACTGTCTACATTGTGCACAAGCCGCACCCCTTGCAACGTTGTTGTAGATGCAACTCCCCCTCCCCCTCTCCCCCTCTCCCGAGCATTACTGCCGCTAGATCCCGCCAACTGTCATCAGCCGTCCCCTTTGATACTTTGTAGGCAGCTCTAGTGGTCTTGAGCACCGTTGTCGCCAGATCCTCCTCTTCCGACCCACCACCACTGGTGCAGCACGAGTGGCTGTCCTCATCGAGGGCGGTGGATAAAACTAGAGCAGCTCGGCCATATCTACATAAGGGGTGAGCTCGAGTGGTGGCCGTAGCACCTATGGTGGAGGAGGAACAACAACGGCCGTGGTTCGGTGCGCACTAGGAGATTAAGGTGTGGGAGGAGAGAGGGAAGAGAAGCGAGGAGAGATGGATCGAGGCTTGGACTTACGGGGGTGTTTAGTTCCAGGGGTGCAAAGTTTTGGCGTGTTATATCGGGTATTATTATAGGGTGTCGCATGGGGTGTTTGGGCACTAATAAAAAAACTAATTACAGAATCTGTCAGTAAACCGCGAGATGAATTTATTATGCCCAACTAATCCATCATCGTTGGTACTAGGATATATGCGAGATTGAGGTAAAAGAGACGGAGACGAGGATTTTTATACAGGTTCGGGCCCCTAAATTGTCAGGTAATAGCCCTACATCCTGTTGGCCGAAGCCGGTAGTTACTCTTATTCATCATAATCACACTAGTACAATATTTGGGGTAGCCTATCTATCTGTTGTCGACTTGGCGGTCTGAAATGCTGACTCGTAGTCGACAATAAGGTAGCCTTCCTCCTCGAGTCCACATCTGACGAGATCAAAGACATCGCTATGTCTCTCCTGACAGTATCCGTAGACACCGTAGGGGACTAGCCATGCTTATCTCTGAAGTCGATATCCGGCGTCTTGTCTTGGCGCATGTTGGCTTGTATTTTGATCTTGTGTCCTGATCTATTGTTCCGTGTCCCCTCTCCTCCTAGGGAGTCTTGTATTTATACCCATAGGTGTCCCCTTGTCCAAGTAGAACTAGGGAGACCAATATGGATACAATATGAGTAGTCCTTGTCGTTTCCATGTAGAACTCTATTCATCCTTCCTTATGCAAAACTCTTCCTATATCCGAAAGTTGTTTCCGTATAAGATATGATATGTGGTGTGTCCTCCCGAGATTTAGTCAACTACTATTAGGTATGTGGTATCCATAACCCTGACAGCCGCCGCTACCATTCTCCAGTCGCAACCCTTCGGCCGGATCCGTGCTGGGGAGAGGGAAGGAGAGGTGGGAGGGGAGAGGTGAGGGGAGGGGAGGGGAGGGAGAGGGGAGAGCCGGAGAGGTGGGATGGCAGCACTCCAACTTAGCAATTTTTGGTGGGTAGGGAGTGTTTTTAAGATGCTTAACCTTTTTGCAGACGGTCGATCGCAGGTGGCTCTTTATTTTTGCAGGCGGAAACGATCTCGCCTTTTTGCAGACGGAACGATCTCGCCCTACGGTTATCATTTTCGTAGGTGGCTATTTAGCTCTGATAGACTTACCCGCTTGAAAAAAAATATCATCGTCTGAAAAAATGGTTTTTAGTGAGGTTGTTATATTATAGGACGGAGGGAGTATTTAATATTGAAGTTATCACAAAATCACATATCTTAGAGTACAAATACTTAGCACTACCATCATGTTGGAAGTATAAATATTGCAGTTTTGTGATTAAATTGGCACTAAACATTTAGTCTTGTGAAAAAATTTTGCAACTGAATATATGGTTATGTGACCCTCCATCTTAAATTTGTAGTTTTGTGATAAATTTGTCACACTAAATTTGTAATTTTTTAATACAACAGCTTAAATATATACTTTTACGATAGTTTAGTTAAGATGTCTGTAGTTTTATGAAATTTACTCTTTCTTTCTTTCTTTCTTGTTCTTAGCTGGTACAGATAGATGTTCACGAGTTAGCAGTGCATTTTATTCATGGGATTTGCTAGCTAAACAACAAATTTAATGTTAATAAATTTGTGTGGTCAAATTGCAACTTTTCCGAGTCACGCTGTGATCGACCGATCCGTGCATCACGCTTGTATTCAATGAACTATGCATTACCATCATATTACCCTTTTTGTGCTGTGCCTGCTGCCTCTCAGGGTAACATTTGTTCTTTTGCCGCTAGCTAGTAGAGGAGCAATAAGTTCTCAAAAAAAGAGTTCTAAAAAAGAGAGGAATAATATTGGGTCCCACGCGAAAGTTAGTGAGCATAAGGAGTATTTATTACTTGGGTTGTTCTGAAGGAGTATTTAAACTCATTTCGTCTCATAATATAAGGATTTTGAGTTTTTCTTTTATTGTCTGACCACTCTTCTTATTAAAAAAATTTGGAATTATTATTTATTTTTTTACTTACTTTATTATCCAAAGTATTTTAAGCACAACTTTTCGTTTTTTATATTTGTATAAATTTTTAAATAAAACAAATGGTCAAACAATACAAACAAAATCTTAAAATCTCTTATATTATGGGACGGATGAAGTAGTGTTCTTGCTAGCTTCCTCATCGACTCTACTAGCTAGCTGTTCTTGGTTGGCTCGCTCGCACATACTCACTCCGTCCCCTCAAAAATTTAATCTAGAAGGGAATATGATCTCCTAAGAAAAGTCATATTTTTTTCTAAGTTAGGGTTGGTTTGGTTTGTGGCCTAAATAGGCCTTACCAAATTTTGTTAATGCCAAATTTTGACAAGTTTTGGTATGACTAATTTTGGTAAGACAAAGTTGTGTTTGGATTGAAGCCAAAATAACCTAAGTTAACTATTGAAATGGCCAATTTTCTTAGGCATGCTAAAATTTGGCTTCAAACCAAATAAACACTATACACTATTGAAATTGCCAAATATTGGTAAGTCTAATTTAGGTCTCAAACCAAAACAGCCCTTAACTTTTATTTTTTAACGAAGGGAGTATTAGCTACCGGCAGTCGGTACATGATCCTGGTAAGTTCTTCGATCTCCTCCATCAAACTATAATGCATGTATTCTTTCCTTTTCCTTTTCTTTTTTTCAGATGCGGTTGCTTGTCTTTTTTTTTCTTTTCCCAAACTTAGAACGCTCGCCCTACTTGGTAGTTCAGTACTCCGACAAATGAGACCGAACTAGCCAGAATAAAATGTACCATCAGCTCTATAAATCGAAGCGCGTGTGGTATCACTTAGATCCACAATCCGATATTTAGGTCCATAATGTTGTTTTAATATACCAACGAGATCTACATCTCACTTAATTAGGTTTGACCACCGACATGACAATCCATCGTGACCACATCTTTGCATTTACCCCCTCCAAGATCCGGTTGACCCCCATCTTCCCCTAGTCACCAGTGGTGTTGACACGGGCTAGGGTAAGGTCATCGATGAGCGTGTCAACGCGGGGGGCGTCGATGACTTTGTGCGAGACGCGTGTGCCGAGGCGAAGGCGGCTATTGAAATGCATCATCTTGCACACGATGAGATGCGGGAAGAGGGTATCGTGCTGGGTAGCTGGAGACTGAGCGTAGATCAATGCTGGTGGCGGGGCACCGTTGAGGAGCCGGTCGAGAGGCGGCGAGAGATGGAAGCAACCGCGAGGATCATGGTGGACTTGCCGACGCCACTAGGACCCATAACATCTTCATCATAATCCACCTCACACACCTGCCACTGGCCATGTTGCTTGGTTGGACAATGCATCTAACACACCTGACACCTCCTAGGCAGTGTTTGGCAAATGTCTAATGGAAATGATTTTCCACCCATCTTTAAATCCTAACCATTCATTATCCCTCATCCATTTAATCATAACCCTTCATTTATTTCCCAATCCCAATCCCATCTCTCATTTCCTATTATCCAAACACACCCCTAGTATCTTCTTCTTTGCGCAGGCGCATAGCTTTCCTAAATAGAGTGGAGAAAAGTGTTGCTAACTTGGTGTGCATCTAGTTGGGTACGACAACCTCCACATCACCTATTTTTGGTCTCTAATTTACATTTAGCGATTTATTTACTAGTTATATTTTCATTCTTCGTTGTCGATTCTCAAATACCTGGATTAGCCTAGCCAATCGCAGACTAATCGACTCCATTCAGTTTTTGTTTTTTTAATAATTAATATAATAATAAATGATGAAAACTTGTAATTGTAATAGAGACACATAAAGATGGGGGGTTGGAAATGGTGACCTGCCAAGGGGTGCATATGGGCCACCATGGGTCGATACAGCCCATATAAAACATGCATGGGCCCAAAATCGAATCTGTCGCCGCCGATTCAAGTTTGGGTGTGCACACACAGTTTCCCGCGCGCGCGACCGTCGTGGCCGACCGGGCAGGACGCCGGCGTCACCCGCTCCTGACGCCGCTCGCTGCCAAAGCCGATGCACAATCTTTTTGCCTCTCCACGACGCTAGCCGCCAATGCGTGGAGGCAGAGAGTGGCTCGCTCCGTCTGCCAATCCTCCCCCAAAGCGGAAGGTGGCAGACCCTTCTTTTTCACCGCGCTCCTTTTTCTTTTTCCCTTCAGGGCTCGACCACCTCGCCCTCCGCCTCTTGGAGAGAGGTCCTTCCCCCTCCCTTGACCGAGTCCGCGCCAGCTAGACTTCCATTCCTCACCAAGCCTCCTCCCGGAGCCTCCGTTCTCCACTTGGATCTTCGCATAACCTCGCGGCCTTCAGAGCTAGCTACAGCCCGGGCTGTTTTCTCGTCCCCCGTCCCCGGCCAGACCGCTCGTCATGCCGGAGGAGCCGGCCGCGTGATCCAGCTGCTGGGAGCTCCCGCGCGCGACGCCCCCCGTCTTCCTCTTCTCCGGCCTTGCTTCGCCCCTCTTCCGTCACGGTAGGCTCCTTCTTCCTTCTCCTTCCCTTCTCATGCTCCTCCTTAACTTGCTATATCTAGCTCTTGTCGTTCTCGTTCTCTAGCGTCGCTCGCATAGGAGCCATGACATATGCCCTGGTGATGCTTCAAATTAATGGTTTCTTGAATCGAACTTTTTTCCCCTTTTCGATCCGTCGCCGTCCATCCATTTCTGGTGGATCTGAGCAGTAGAATTCGACTCCTCTCGTTGCTCCTGTGCCCTCTTTCTCGAACTAATTAACCGCATAGAGATAGAGATAGAATCGTCCCGGAGAACCACCCCATCGTCGCCGCCGGTCGGATGCGGGTACTGTTCTTGACAAGCCACGCGCCCACCAGTCCGCATGGGCCGTGTGTTGGGCCTCGCCCATGCGCGCTCAGCCTCTGGGCCGCGTAGCCTTCTCCCGCTCCGGCCCGCGTTTCCCGGCCTCGTTCTGGCCTCCTGCTTCCATAACCCCCAGGGTGTCAAAATTTCTATACTAGTATCTCATTCAGTGTTTTTTTTTTTATTTTTAGAACACTCATTTAGTGATTCACTAGTCATTTTCATTTCTCGTTCTCGATTCACAAATACCCGAATTAAGATCAATTGATTCCATTCAGTCCTTTTTTCCTTGTAAAAAACTTGTAAATGTAATAGAGACACAAAATATGGGATATGAAATTAAAAATAAAAATAGGTTTCTTAAAAAAGAAGAAGAAGAAGACACTTTGGGACCTGCCAAGGGGTTCAGATGGGTCGACTCACCTGTATGTATTAAGTAGCACAGAGGCTCCCGCATCGACCCTTACTAGTTGCTACTGCGAGAACAATAGGTTCGATGTGCCTCTGCCTCTGTTGTTGAGAACAATAGGTTCGATGTGTGTGTCTGATAGTTGCTAATCTTTCTGTTGAACTAATATGTTCGATATGTGTGTGTGTTTTGCTAATATGACAATCGATCGTCGAATACTTTTCTGGACTAGCCACCTCTCCATTAGCTAATATGATTTGTTTTAAGTGCACTCTTTCTTTACTGTTGATTTTTTTTCCTCTTCAGCTAGCAATTTACTCCTTTCTCCTACTCTAGGCTAGTTGCACATGGCTGACCCGAACAACAACAGGCGTCGACCCAATCTCCTCACCGGGGGCTGCAGCGCAGGCAAACAATACTTGGCTAGTAAAACGGCCCCGTCCATTTTCAGTGTCGAGGTGGCCGTGCGTCATGAGAAGCAGAACAACTTGAAAGCTATGAGGAAATACGTGGCGTTGACAGACAAGGCAACAGATGTGATGGATACGGGGGTGCCAACAGATGAACTTACTATTAAGAGACGACAACAGACTGGATTTGTCGTTCACAGTAGCGACACACAGTTGTTTATCCTGACTACAGCCCATGCAGTTGATTGTGTGTTCAAAAAAGGGGTGCACCAAGTCACTGCTGAAGAGCTCAACTTGGTCTTCCTGTTTGGTGTGGCCTGTACTCATCACGAGGCGCAGATTCAGGCAGATTACCCTGATGGGAATGTATCTGAGCTGTTGAGATCATATTGCGATGCGCATGTGGTAGCCCTTGACATTGAGAAGGATCTTCTTCTTCTTGCAGTAACAAAGGACGAGCTGTGCTTGCAAGACGTAGATGTTGGTGGGGTGTTTGTCCCATGTTCCAGTGATCATCCTATCATTCACCTGGCCGATTTGCCTCCTGAGCAGAGTGATCTATCCCTTTTGCAAGGTTGGCCGCCTCTCCGCGCCAATTCTTCGATTTGGGGTTCCGTAAGCTATCTAGAGAGACCTTACGATGTTCTCACAAGTTGCAATACCAAAGGTTACACTATGAAACTTACGGAGTTTCATGAATTTGACTGTGCCAACGGGTTTTCTGGAGGGCCGGTTATAAATGGTGATGGTCAATGTATGGCGGTATTTCACGCAGTGATGGTGGATGCTAAATGTGGGTATGCAATTTGTTTGGAGGATGTCAGAGAGTTTCTTACCAATGCATTGGAAAACGTAAGTATTATCTATGACTAACAATATGCACATGCTTTCTATCTCATACTGTTAAAGTTTTTTCATTTTAATTATTAGCTGCAGCTTCTTGAGGACAATGAGGATGGAGATGGTGGGCATGCATGACGATGGGTAGGATGCCACAGTTGAGTAGATGCCTCATTTTGTCTGTTTAAGTAAAGTTCTTACTAAATTATTATCTGCATATATACTTATTCAAGCATATTGCGCTCTAACAAGCGGTTTCACTTTTCAGGTCTTGGAAGAATACTTACTAGCCAAGAATTAACCCTTTAAATTAAGTTTTGCGATATCTTAGACCACAGTGGCAAGTAAAGTACCAGTCAATGACCTACCTTTGGATTTTTGTAAGCCTTATTTAGCAGAGAGCTAGACTATTCTCTTTACTCTTTAATTGACTACTACTCTCTCCTTATTATGCTGTTCCTTGTTATTGGGGAGGGCTGAGTCGCTCTCCCGTTGATATATATTTTGTTTATCATCAAGTTAATGGCCATCAAGACTCTAAACAAAATGTTGCATTCTAATATGAAATGCGCCTGGTTTGAGTTCTAAAAAACAAAGCTAACTAGATGACTGGGCGTGCCATCGGCGCGCTTCATGAGTGTGGTTATATAAATACTAAATTTTGCCATTATTAGTGTCAGAAATGCTGCAAGTTACTGTATTACATTTGCATGGAGTATGTTGTAACTTTGCTGTAGAATAAACTGTAACACCTTAATAAAAATTGTGCAGGTTATTGTAATATATGTAAGTCTTAAAGGGGAAAAACGAACAAAACAATTTCAGCATGAAAGTTTTCACTCGATGAACATACAATTTCAGCTAGGTAGCATAATCATTTGGATCCACAAATAAGGATAGAAGCTTATACTTTGGAAGAGTGTCTCCCTGCTTATGCAATAATGCTCATCCTGTATAGCGGCATAAATGCTGAGTACAAAATTCTTCATATAAGGGCGCAGATGACTCAATAAAAAACTATTGGAATAATTCATTAAGAAAAAGGTTAGATGGTTACAATGCCACAAATATTCTGCCAGTTCAACTACACGTTGTTTCTAAATATTTCCAAAAGTTATCGAAGCTATCACCTACTAAGTTAAAAAAAAGAGCTGATCATTTATTCTACATATCACTTGGGAATAGTTAACAATTATCCTAACCCTCATTGAGGGGCTTCCAATTTAAAAGAATCTCAATTCTTGTTTTGGATGCAAATTTGTGAGCAATGATGACTTCATGTGAGGCATCAGTAGATGATGATTGTACTATTGATGTAGCAACATGCTCAAAACAGTTTCTTAAAGGCACTGAAAACAATTTCCGGAAAGGGAACAGGGTTAGGGAATCATTTTGCTTAATGAGAAAAGCCTTGATATTAACCAGGAATCAGAAAAAATGGGCCCATTATATACCAGCAAAGACAACGCGAAGCAGACATACCTCATTATAGGCTTCACCATACTCCTCCATACGAAATGATGAAACAGAAAGAGCTGCAGCGAACATATATTGCCAGGTAAGTGCATTTCAAGTCGATTCAATGATCTACCTCCGGACAGTCATAAGAATTACAAAACACAAAATGGGAGATGCATGTACATTGTAGTGTGTTATAGAACACATTGGATATCACAGCTTTATTTTTCTGAAAAGTTCTAATTATCTGGAAACTACACCAAGAACAGTGACTGATGACTGCAAGCACTATTAAACTGAAAGCACTATCAAAATTGTATATAATCTAGAATTTGAAATGCCTCATTTCAGCCATATCGCTATTTATGTAGAACTGCAAGCATATTTTTTTACAATCAAAACTTACTTCATCGAATATATAGAAAAGGTACATAGGCACAATATCTTCTATTTAGACGCTCAATTTGAAAAGCAGAACACAGTAGTGCCCTATAAAGATAATATGTCTAATTCTAGTGAGTCTAGAAGTGTTACTGGTCCTGAAGAGATAACTGAGTATTTCTTAATAAGTCTCTGAATTTAGAACCCAAGACCAAATTGTAGAACAGAGGCATTAATAGTTTTTTTCTCGAAAAAGAGGGCAGGAGGGCTGCCTCTTTTCATTAATATAGGAGGAGAAAAGAATTCATATACAGGCGTTTGTGTATGTTACATGAGGTCTACTCTCGCGACAAAGCTGGTGTATACTGAATTCTGTTGCCAATCATAAAAATCAGGCAAACCAAGTTATGATGTGTCAATGCTTGTGCCAAAGAATGCAAGGACAATTAAATTATGTTGGATATAAGAAACTGATTCATACAAACAGAGGTGAAATAAATCAACTTACATGTGTTGGTTGTATACTCATCAAGATGATTGAAAGGATCCATAATCCAAACCTTAATTCGTTGGTATGATTGGATTGGATTTACATAGGACGCAAATGACCCCAGAGACGAGCATCAAATCCCTCAAAGAGTAAAAAATCCCAAAAGGAAGTTTATCTTAATTAAGTAAATGTAAGGCATAAATAAACAATATAGAATTATTCTTAGCTTGAAATTTATATTGACATTCTGTCGGATATATGCAACATGTAGAAACTTACATAGGCACACCAAACCATATCTCCCTAAAAGATGACTCTTCGACAACTATTGGTATGATATCCATCTAGATACCTCAAAGAAGATGGGGATGCCAAGAATAAACAACATATCTACATATATGAGCACCTACATAAAATGGAAAGGGAGAAATACCAAGATCGTAGGCAAGCCAGGATAATAGTCATCGCTTCAACGACATTAATCATCCTGCTTGATTTGAAAAAAGAAAGAATCAATTGTTTAGTGCCCAAGAATTATACTAAAAGTGAGGCTCAAATCAGAGCAAAAAATATTTTTACTAAATGGATTACCAATATAACAAAGCACTATTCTAGGTACATACATGCCAGCACATACTCTGATCATAAATTGGTTGTGTCAAAGAGCAAGAGGGGTTAGCAGAGGAGGCAGAAAAGAAAGGATAAGGTGAACTATTTCCATTTAAGAATATATTGCCACTCATCTGCACCAGAAGAATTATTGCAGGTAGATATCTATGCGCAATAATTAGTAAATTAAAAAACTGCAAGAATTATGCTAGGATGATTTTGTAATCAAAATGATATGAAAGATAAAATAGATGAGTGCTATTGGAGAGGCAAGTCGGGCCATTGGTACCTATCTTTCTGTGCTGAATTCTTTGATTTAGAAATTCGTAATGGTTGGACACTTCTATCTGTCTTGCATCAAGGAATGCATCCCATATTCCCATTTTGATGTTCTGTAAAATAAATGTGCAGTTCTGACCACGTATTAGTACAGATATTTATGAAGTAAAGAGAGAGGGAAGGAGAGAGCAAGATGCTAAAAATGCAAATCGTTTAGTTTTGTCATGTAGAACAGATAACACATCCTATGTTGTACTGTTTGGTTGGTTACATTTGCTTGCATGTAATGTAAGTTACTGTGAGGTACTAAAAAACCGTGCGAAACATAGCAGATTAGATTGCCCTTCACAGCAATCAAATAAGAAATTCCAAAGCAGGAATAAAAATCTGCAACTCATGAGAAAGAACCTGTATATATCCCCAACTGTATCTGAAGCATGCTTTTTGCAGACCTTAGAAACTACAAGATGCATAGTCACCTGCTCGAACTCCAGAAAAAAGTAAATTCTATTAAAAATAACCTAAAAATATGTAGGATTGGAGGAAAGGGAGATGATACCTGTGGAAGCTAGAAGGGGTTGATGGTGATGGCGGCTGAAGCAGATCAAGGAAACAGACAGTACTTATCTCTTTATCGGGCCACACGATCTGCTCAGCCGTGAGGCGTAAGGCGAGGCAGTGGAGCAGCTTGGGGGTGGACTTGGCAGCGATGTGGGAAGCGAAGGCACCGTCTTGGCGCTCGCGAGCAGCTGTAACATAAGTAGCTAAAGCCAATGAATATAACAAATACCTCACTTGCTAAAACAAGACCAACATCATCAAGGCAGTAGCAAATTTTTGCTAAAATTAGAAAGGCGTCTCCTTGATTCTTTTGTTATATCATCAGCATCTTCATACATGTAGCTTTGCTTATTCTGCAACTCTGTTATCAATGCATCATACTGCATATACAAAAAAGTGTGTGTTCTTAGAAACATAAAAAATGCTGAGGTGCAAACTTTGATGACAAATTCGATCAATATAGCAGAGAAAAAAAGAGATAAAGAAAACCTTGGGACATAAAACTCCCAATTCTTCACTCAAATCTTCAAAACAAATTGTTTTCGGGTCATAGAATCTGTACATTTCTTTTGCAGAAGGAACGCAAAGCTCTATCTCTTCTCTATCTGAAACTCTGTAGATCTGCTAAAGATAAAAAATGATGAGATTGAAAGTACGCAGACGAATAACATTTTTAAAAGGGGTCATATGTGTATCCCAAAATGGCATGGGTAGAACAGATAGATATATATCACCTAAGCTCTCAAAACAAACACAACAGTCAAACAATTTGCATTTGGTTGAAAACTACAATCTGTCAATAACTGGAATTCAGGTACGTATATATCCTTGCAGTTCAATAGACAAAGTAGAATCGTGTAGTAATCAGAACTAACATGTCCTGTATAATCTAACCCAGCTTATTCATATAATATGTGTGGCAGAAAAGGAAACTGAACATACCTTGGCATCTAACAGGTTTTCCAATTCACAGAACTGACCTTCACAATCCAAATGAGAAGAGACACCTGCAAAGACAACCATGAAAAACTCAAATCATCCAATAAGATTTACTAAGTGATGGGAATAAATCAAATCTGCCAGAAATATTGGCATTTATGAACTCTATGGCCAAAGTGAAACTGGAGAATATGTGCGTGATCATTGTTCCTGGATATTTCTCTGGGATGGCAGGTCAGAATTAACACATATCCTAAATGCTACTGTTTACAAGAAATTTATTGCTGATCTTCTCTAACTTATGCATCTCTGAACCAGAGTTGAAACAAATGAGGTTTAACATCCCATCCTCCATCGAGCCCCCCGGGCACCTACCCACCCACTCACAAAAGAAAAGAAGAAGAAGCATTCTATATAGTTCTTGCAGAAAACTGAATACTTCCCTTTTCTTATAACAGGTGATGCTGTCATACCAAACACACTTGGCTTATGTTCTGATTTGTAATAGAACTCCTGAGATTGTGATAAGTTATAACTTATGACAAACACAAAAAAGAAAAACCTGAATGCAAATATTCATGGTAGTGTCAAAACAAAAAAAAAAACATGATAAGATGGTATTTCATAATACCTTCATTACAAGTATAAGGGTGGTTTCCAGTTGCATGATGGCATTCATAAAATATCATGAGACTAACCTTGTCCAAGATCAAGAAAGCATTGCGTAAAGCTTGTAGGAACACCTGTGGTGTCATGACCATGACCTGTAATTTCATTATTATAAGTGCTGAAAGGATCAACAAGTAGATAGGATCATAGGACAGGGGAAAAATATAAGTTAAGAATATCCTAGTGTAATATAGTGAACAGAAGACTGCAGATCATAACTGCTGCTAGCATGGAGTGAATATTTTCTTTAGCACATATGATGAATCAATGAGCCTTTAAAAAGCATAGAATAAATGCTTGCCTGATATTTTGAGATTTGCTCTTGCCATCTTGGACCTGTCCATTGATCAACCCCCTTTGCGCCATGACATTGTTCCACCTCAAAATCTGTGAGTTTCAGTCACCTCGCATTGCTGTGGTGAAAAATAATGTCAGTATAAATTATGTTACAGTTAGGGTAAAACGAACAGTCTACAGACTCTGGTATAACCTGTGCAACAAGTTGAACTGTTGGTGCAAGAAATATGATGACTTTTCCAGCATTCTTTGTTCTATTTATCTTTCCAAACTCCTTGATAAACATCACAGCAATCATTATCTTCCCAGCTCCTGTGTCAAGCATCGCAATCGTGTTTCTCCGCATTGCAACCTCATAGACATCAAGCTGATATCTGACCAATCTCAGCATCACAAAGCAATGTCACAGGATTGTACTCTTTTTCTGATCATATAAGAATATAAGATAGTGACTGTGAAAAGGAGAACTCTGCAGAACCTTCTGTGTGTGAAAGCTTGACACTCTCTCTTTTGCCGTTTCTGTTTGCCTGCTTCTTCATGTTCCTGAGAAGATGATTCCGGGTTCATGTTTACTGCCATTCGAACAAAAAAAATTACCAAGTGAGGTCATGACAATTCACCATTGGGAATATTCACACCCAAATAGATCGAAATTAGTAATCCTCGAAGCACGAAAGGATAAATATGAAAAAAAAGAAAAAGAAAACAAGTGTTGACAAATAATAAATCTGATTCGCGTCAGTTAGCTCGCAAACCCTTCCCAAAAACACTTAGAAAAAACGTGGGTACCATCGGCGACGACCATCTCCTCGCTGGATCTTGAGCTGCGAATGAGCGGATCGAATAGCGGGCCTGGCGTCCGCGATGGTCTTTGGCATGCAGATACAGGTGGAGCCGGCGCACCTCGTCCCCCGCCGACGAGGGCTCGTACTGCGATGCAGACGCAGCAGCTAGCTAGCGCTGGAGATTTGGTCCTAGCTAGAGCGCCGTCGCCCAAACAAACAACTCCTCATCTGCCAGACGCTTGCTCTACATAAATCAAGGGCTCGCCGGAACGAGGAGGTTAGGGTAGCGGATGTGGCCTGCCTGTCGCTGGCCGATTTCCTCAATCACGCCGGCCCCGCCTCCGTGCGACCTGCTCCTGACATCCATCTGCGCCTGCGCGTGCTCCTGCTCATGTTCACTTCCTCCTCCAGAGCCTCCACCGGCGTCCAGGCCAGATGGGAGGGGCGGAGGACGGAGAGGTAGGGGAGGGGAAGAGGTGGTGCCGCGGAAGTCGAGTGGTGAGTTTGCGTGCACGCTTCGTCCTTTCCTTCTCCAACCTGGAGTAGGCGTATAGCTGACCGGTGGGGCCCATATCTATCAATTCCCGCGTTCGTTTCTTTGATGAAAGATTAAGGGCCTTCTTAGTTCCCAAGTAAATTTTTTCATGCTATCACATCGAATGTTTAGACACAATGTATGTAGTATTAAATGTAGAAAAAAAAATAATTATACAGTCTGCTAAGAAATTACGAGACGAATATTTTAAGCCTAATTGCACCATGATTTGATAATGTTGTACTACAGTAAATATTTGCTAATGGATGATTAATTAGGCTTAATAAATTCGTCTTACAGTTTTCTAATGGAATCTGTAATTTGTTTTGTTATTATATTACGCTTAATACTTCAAATGTGTGCATGTATATCCGATGTGATATGCAGTGGCAAAATTTTTAGGGTCTGTTTAAGTTCGTATGCAAAAACTTTTCACCCTTAGAACTAAATAGGGCCTAAATACGGCATGCAAAACGACAAATTCATTAAGACTAATTGAGTTTTAATTATTTTTAATAATAATTGAGTTTTAATTACTACAAAGAGTAAATTGTATTTGTAGTACACAAACTTATTAGGTCAGTGTTATTTACTATATAAACTTATAAAATGCTCTTTCGTGCAAACGAGGATAAAAATAATTTGGCGATGTTAATTTTATGAAGCTGATATTGATTAGAATATGATGTGTATATGTGTAGTGAGTATGCATAAGACATGCAATCTTTATAATTTTGCTATGTACTTTATCCTTCTTCATGGATTTCTTCTTTCGTATATTTCTAACACTTATATAATTGCTCGGTTTTTTAATCTTTTTCTACTATCACTATATCCTATTATTTTTTTTATTGAAGAGGTATATGTTGTCAGGGTTATAGATACCACATACCTAATAGTAGTTGACTAAATCTCGGCAGGACCCACCACATACCATGTCTTATACGAAAACTGTCAGGGTTACGGATAAGGTATACTCTCTACTCTTGGATATACGTCGTGTATTGGTATAGTATACCCACGCGTATACGGACATTCTCTGTACACGTTAAGGAAATTCATCACTGAGTCCACAGATGGAAGGAGTACCACTCGGATAGAACTGGGTCGTCACTGTATCGTATAGGGTCCGATGTCTCCGAGTTCTACTTGGAGACCAACTGACCTGTGGTATAAAAGGGACCCCCCGGGAGGACCTAAGGCATCGAATCTCACCGCCAACACAACCACCACAGCCTACGAAGTCGGAGTCACCGGGGTGATCTAGTCGAACCAACTCGACTACAGTCTCGTCGGTATCATCGAGTTCTGCTATTCCCTTTGTAATCTGTGGTTTTCACTATATAATCCCATACCAACTGGATTAGGGCTATTACCTATCAAGGGGCCTGAACCAGTATAATCCTTGTTTCCTGTTTGCTTGATGTCGTACTACGTAGATCCTCGTACCAGCGTACCCTAATACCCTCTATATCTGATCTACGGGTATCCCCCGTCGATAGAAACAACCTTCAGATATAGGAGGAGTTCTGCATAAGGAAGGATGAATAGAGTTCTACGTGGAAACGATAAGGACTACTCGGATTGTATCCATATTGGTTTCCCTAGTTCTACTTGGACAAGAGGATATATATGGGTATAAATACAAGGCCTCCTAGGAGGAGAGGGGACACGGGGCAATAGATCAAGATACAACATACAAGCCAACATACGCCAAGCCAAGACGCCGGATATCGACTTCATAGATAAGCATGGCTAGTCCCCATACAGTACCTACGACTACCGTCAGGAGGGATCTAGCGCTGTTTCTGATCTCGCTGGATGCGGATTCGAGGAGGAAGGCTATCCTGTTATCGACTATGAGTCAGCACTTCAGACCGCCAAGTCGATAACAGATAGATAGGCTACCCAAATATTGTACTGGTGTGATTATGGTGAATAAGAGCAACGACCGGCTTCGGCCAACAGAAGTAGGGTTATTACCTGACAATTCAGGGGCCCGAACCTGTATAAAAATCTCGTCCCCATCTTTTTTACTACAATCTCGTATATATCCTAGTACCAACGATCTCCATACTATGTAAATACCGGAATTGCGACATCAAACATCGACATATGTCTAATAGCAACCTTCTCAGATATATGTTTACACTAGAAAAAGTGCCCGTGCGTTGCAACGGGTAAACTAAAATTATAACAAATATAAAATATATTAGATAATGATTAGGGTTTAGTTTTCCATGATATTGGAATTTGAGAAAATATATTCCTAAAAACTAAAGAAAGTTTAAAAAAGGGGGAAAAAAAGAGGCCACTTTGTACCCAACCAACTTGCTGGGGCATTTGCACATGCAGCCCATGAAATACGATCGACCCAATGGTGCTGCGGCCCAAGGATGGAGGCCCACCCGATGGGGGATCGATCTGAGCTATTCATTTTGATGGACGGCTCGGATCGACGCTGAATCCTTCAAAACAACCGGTGACAAGGACCCTAACCCTAATTCACATTTTTCATCCCCTCCCCCTTCCCCTCTATCCTCACCGGCGTTCTCCCTCCCTCCCCCCAACCACCGTTGGCCCTTTTCCTCCTCATCGGGTGCCGCTGCCTCTCCACTCCTTACCATATCTGGCCTTAAGGCGGTGGCGGTGCAGCTCGACCGAGCCACCGCCGACGGCCACTCCGTGCCCCCTCCTCATCGGATCTGGCCTTAGGAGGTGGTGGCGGTAGCTCGAAAGTGGTAGCGGCGGCTGAAGCTCGATGGCGGCAAGCTCATACCGCTCGTGTCTCTGGCGAGGTCTGGTGACTGGATTTTTGTTCGATTTGTTTTTTTTTTCCGTTCGCCATTCTTCAATTTTTTATTTGGGACTGGGATGTAACACAAATGGGTTTAATTTTTTTTGTTAGTTGATGTGGACTCTGGATGATTTTTTCTTTTGTGTTGGACTCGAATCTGGACTCGGATCTTGGATGTTGCGAATGAAAAAAAGGGACTACCTGTTGGCAACTATTTGTGACAAGTCGACAAGCACGATCGCAACACCTAAACGCCTTGCGGTGATATGAAGTCGCCAACCACCTCGATCTAGCCAAAGGGCCAAATCAAGATGGGTTTGTAGAAAAACAGCTAAACCGGCTAGCGGAGCCGATTTAGGGATCAAAATCAGCCTCTAGGCCGATTTAGATCGATATGAGGATAACTACCCGTCTCGTGGGCAAAACGGAAGGTTTTCAGGACAAACCTACAAAGAGGTGTCGCACTCTCGCAGCGGCGGCGGACGGTTTACGGCGCAAACCGACAAAGATGGACTAAACTAGGGTAAAATAGAAAAACATAGTAAAAAACGATTGAAGTAAATTGTATTCGGGGGTTTTATAATGAACCGGCCTTGTCCCTTAAATAGGGGTTGGTCTTGCCTTCTACAGGCCCTTCTCCACGTCCAACTCGGGATAGAAACCAAAGGAAACACGAAACCTGCCTTCCCGAGTAAGGAAACCCGAGACCCGACGAAAACAGACTCGGACTCGGACCCTGACGGTCTGACCGCCCACATACCTGCGGTCAGACCGGCCCTACTAGCCGGTCAGACCGCCCACATACATATGGTCTGACTGGCCCTATGAAGGAAACCCGTCACTTTCCAAACTTTGGCAATTTTCCCCTATTTCGTCCATAGGTGCCAAATTTGGGTGTAAACACTACCTAGATAACTGTCGACAGTTTTTTAAGGAGAAAACTTTCAAATCTAACTATAGTATAATTACAATATAATTTCGTATATAAGTATAATGTAACTCATATAAAAATATTAAAATAATATATGTAAAACTATATCTAAATTATATAAAGATGATAATGTAGTTACAGTTCAGTTACATGGTAGTTACGACGTAGTTACAATGCAGTTATATTATAACTATATTATAACTAGGTTGTAACTAGAGTATAATTAAAATATAGCTCATCTAACTTGTCAAAAATATGCAACAGATCAAGTGGCTAGCATACACACCTTCCATTATGGAGGTCCTGGTTCGATCCCCTGCAAAAGAGCACACGCACCGATTTTTTTTTCAAATCTCACACTTTTCTTATTTTATTGGATAGATACTTTTTTTATTTTATTTTCGCCCTTCTCTTTACCGCGTAGACGGCGTCGGATTCGTTTAGATTTTTTCACCCTTTTTACCACATTGACGGAGTCGGATTGGTTTCTCTTTCAAATCTCACACTTTTCTTATTTTATTGGACAGATACTTTTTTTATTTTTTTTCTCCCTTCTCTTTACCGCGTAGACGGAGTCGGATTTGTTTAGATTTTTTCACCCTTTTTACCGCATTGACGGAGTCAGATTCGTTTCTCTTTTTTGGCTTTTTCGGATCGGACAGATTTGTTATTTTTTCCTTTTTTCCGGCCGTTTTTTTTTCTTTTTTTCGCCTTTTTTTTATCTAATAGGTTTGGGTTTTTTTTCGCCCGTGGATTTTTTTCGTTTGTTTCGCCTTTTTGATCGAACAGAGTTGTTTTTTTATTTTTTTTCGCCAGGTTTTTTCCGCACGGTTTTTTTCGCCCACGGTCTTTTTTTACGGACGATGGAAGCACCTCTTAAAAAAATTTTAGTAGTAAAGAAAAAATAAATATAAAGATAGAGATAGAGATAGAGATAGAGAAGATATATATACACACACATGCTTCTAAAACTTTTACGGAAATATACCTCTCCTGCAAGTTAGGAACGCGGCATCGCACCGTCGGCGCATATCAAAGATGCGGGACTGATTAGAGGGGACGGTCCCGCGGCGCCACATGCGCGACCGCCACACACATAAGTGAACATATAGATATATAGTACAGTGATTAGTATAGCAAAGTGGCCATACACATGCATATATAGCACAGTACAAACTAATTAGCTAATACTATGGGCATTAGGAATAAGTTTATTTGATTATGTAATTGATCGATCGTTTGCATTTGGCGTGGTGCCGCTCGACTA